ATCGCCACAATATGAAATACAAATAAATTATATCACCAAACCACGTGCCACTTAGTTTAGCAGATTTTCAACATAGTAGTTCTATAATAATTTGATAATCAAATATTTTTGATATCGATTAAAATCCCTTTTATTATCTTCCCCACTGGAATTATAAAAATTAATCTTTGTGTTTTAAAAATTAATTCATTTGAAATTAATTAACATAAACTAAAAAACTAAAAACTATTAATTATTTGAATTTATTATTTAACTTCTAATTACTCAATTCTAATTTGATGTTATAAGTTATTACATCAACAATATATTGATGTATTGTTTATTAATTTTTATTTTTATTTAAGTTATATTCTTCTTCTATATTATGATTTTTTATGTTCTAATTGTACTTAATTATTTTATTGTTTAAAGTTTAATATAAAAAATTATACAGAAAAATTATAATTATTAATATATATAGATAATATAATACTTTTTCAAATTAATTTTTTATTTTATTTATTATTTAATATAAGTTAATTTAATTTTAACAGTCGATTTTATAGGCCGCAATTCTCTTCTAGTTAAAAAAAAAGGATTAACTACTCAATTCTATAAATGATTGATGTTATAAATTATTGATGATAAATTGTACAGAATACATCCTTGAAATAATGGCCGAGATTTAGCGAAGGAAGGTATATATTATTTTTTATTTCGTCAACAAATTTTTCATTAAAAAGAAATAACAATTTCTACTTTATATATATTCATATAAAGTACTACGTGAAAAACAAAAAAATTATTATTTATATTCATATGACACAGAAAACTAATCTTACGGATATAGAACATTTACATATTTCTTTAGGCAATTATCTTTGAAACTGTCATTTAGAAGAACATAAATCTAAAAGAAAATATATTTCCATTAAAATAAAAATATAATAACTTTAGCTAGAAATATATCTTATTGAAATCAACTATCAAAGATAATCGCGTTAATTGCAAAGATTAATATCGGATTTTATATAAATAATAAATATGACTATTAATCGAGAATTGAACAGTATTTTGTATATGAATCTAACATATAACAATATATAATAACGTAATTATATACATTTTTTATGACTTAAATTTTGCCTTCTCGATTGAAGAGCAATGTAACTTGGTGAAAAATCAGTAACAATGTATACGATACAATACACACAATATATCACATCATGTTGCATCGAGTACAATACAAGGAAAAGGATTTAATATCTCACATATTGCAAGACGTACAAAATTTGTCATACGTTATTATATTACTTATTATATCACGGCTTACTGGCCATCCTATGTATGCTACAATATGCAAAAAAAATCTTTCCGAAAAGAGAGTAGCAATAAATCAGTAGCAATATCGATTTTCTGTGTTTCTCGATTTAGTAATTTCTAATCTGAGCTCATTTAGGATTCTGCCTCGTGCTGTCTAGTACAGAACTCTCCTTAACAACAGTCTTTAATTCTTTCAGTTTCGGAGATACGCTTGGTTTTATATGCGCAAGAATCCTGGTCCTATCATGAGCTCCTTTAATACCCTGTTTATCGTAAACTCGCAATATTCTCGAGGAAGCTTTCGCACCGCTCTTTTCTGCGGCGCAGGAATGCTCTCCGACCTCGGGAAGGGGCTTGAATGTCCTCGTCGAGAGAATTTTTAGTCTCTTCGCGCCGTGTCTTACCGCTGCTGTTTCCTCGGAAGAAACGCGTGTCTTTGTCGAACTGCTGGTCGCCGTCAGCTTCTTGTTCGTGCACGCGCTTAAACACGGCTCGAGGACATCGCCGATCGCTGATCCCGCGTAAGACCTGTTCGATCGATAGTGATCGACCACCTTTAGGAACGGCTTTGTCTCTACCTCGGATTTAATCGCGCAGATTATCGCGCTGTTCTCCACGTTGCCGGCGCAGTGGCTCTTCAACGCGCGACGCGCAAGCGTTTGCCGGGGCTTCTTACTGCTCTTGATTCTTTTTACTGCCGTGTAAAGAGAAGCACCGCGACGAAGGATGCACTTCTTCACCAAGCTGCCCTCATTCCTTATCGCGTTCCTTGCACCTGTCACCACGTCACTTAATCTCGTTTCTAATTCCTTCAGGATGCAGCTGTTCCGCGCGGCGGCACCTTCGTTATCCTGTAAATGAAAGTTACATAATTGTAGATTTGGGAAACATGCTATCACAAAAATATTCACTACAACACTCACGATAACATAAAATAAAAATAAATGTGTGTGTGTGTGTGTGAGAGAGAGAAATTGATTTTATTCAATTATCACTGTTATTATGACTTGCTTGCATGGTTATTATAATGATTATTAATTAGGCAAATAATGACTTACCCTTTTGTGGCTAAGCACAAAAATATAGCACGTATCATAACACTTTAAAAAAAACGAAGCGCATCTACATATATAAAAACTTCACAAAAAATGATAAAATAAGCAGATTGCTCGACGCAAATTGAAGCTTAGCCGATAATACGAATATTATCAGAAGCGATTAAATATATTTCTATAAAATTTAGCAGAAGAAATTACTGACATGACGCATGCTAAGGTGCTGTATATTTTACTGTACATTTTAATGTGTACAATTTCACACATTTTGCTACACGTTTTCGCTGTCAATGAAAACTCGCGGTCGATTTTAAATTTACCGAATTACGGGATTGATTGGTCAGGATATCCGGGAATCAAATAAAAGATAAATGATCGCTAAAAAACTGTAACATTTATTAACACAGTTAGATATAAGCTCGTGTGCGATACATCATGAAGTTTCTATACATGTATGCATATATAATACGAGCTGAACTTTGAAATGTGTGTTTCTATGATCTATTTAAGTCTGTTATTATTAGAATTACACACATTATATCCTGCATCTATAATAGTCTCAACATCGATAAATTTATGCACGTTGACATTATTGTTGTCGATATAGAAGATATATTAATAATGAAATTACTTTGCCGGGAAATAACAGTCATATATTTAATACTTTATAATTTATGAAGTAAACTTTTATATATTTTATATATTTTTATATATTTATAAAGTAAATTTTTTAATATTTTTATATATGATACTAAAATGAGTAACATTTGAGTTTTAATTAACAAATCGCTACATTTCACTTCAACAATTCCATCCGGAGATATACAATGATTTAACCATTTATATCCCTATGTCGTGCTCTTCGCTAAAGAAATAAATATAATTAGTTATATATAATCCTATATGTGTGTGTGTAATATTGACATTTTGTTCATAACAATTCGCATTTTTTTGAAAAGATGCTGCCAAGTTAGATTTTGTGATTGTAAGTGCACTTGCATACATTATAAGTGAAAAATATAGTGCATAAAAATTGATATTATT